ACTATAAATTAGTTATAGAAAATATATATTTGTTGCTCTAAAAGTATGAAAGTCTAAAACCTAAAATTACTATTTCAATCTTTACTATATATTCTTGATATAATTACATCAGAAGGGTCTTGACTAGAGAATTATAAATATATACATAGAGGATGTTTTTGTAGTTACTTTTTTTCTCATTATTTTAAATCTTTACAAACCCTTTTTTCATGCGGCAAAATATTATTTTTTTTGCTCTATCTAAGACTTTTTAAATATTTAATATTTATATTTATATCAAGTTTTTATATTTATTTAAAATTTTAATAAGTTTTTATATAGAATTAAAAATTTAACTTAAATTTTCATCAATGTCAAGAGTAAATGTGATTAAGATGAATGCATAACTGTTAATCTAACTTAAAGCTTTAAATTAAATTTTCAACCATTCTGTTTTTAACCATTCCCCATTTCCCATTATGGTTAATTTAAAAGCTTAATTTCAATGTAAATAACTTGAATTCAAGTTATGATTGGCTATCTAAAGATTGCCATTTATGATATAGTGAACTTTTAATTTGAGCTTGGAGAAAAATAAAATGAAGACGTGTTTGTAAAGATTAAAAAAAAGGGACACAAGTTTTTAAAAAGACAAAAAAGGGCATTAACTGTATAAGATCGTTTAATCTAACAAAAAAAGAGTAATGATATGCAACAGTCAATTGTATCCTCCTTAATTATCTTTACAATATTGACCATTATAATATGGTTTCAAATTATAAAAAATAACTATTTAACCCTTTTTAATTGATAAAATTTCAAAATAAAATAAAAAGTCCATTAAAATTAATTGATTTTACTTTGATTTGTATTCTGGCATGTCCAATAGCTCCCTATTTTTTTTTTTTTAAGACGTTACATAATTAATATAATCTCTTATATATAGATCTTGAGATATTATATTTCATTATTTCACTGGCTATGCTATGTAATACATAGATCAAACATTAGTTTTTAATGAGAATTATTAAATTTTAAACAAAGAATTTAGCAATTTTTTTTTTCTCATATAGGAGTGAGCCTAAATCAACCAAATCTATATATATAAACCGATTATCACACAAAAAAAAAAAAAAAAAAAGGGCAAATATAAGAGTTAAACTAGGTTTTTGCCTTCTATCTCTTGATTATTATTATGTTATTATTTACCTTTTTTGGTTCTTTCCTTATGTTTTGGGCTTTTGACACATGTTTTCTCTCAATGGCTATTAAATTTTTTTAATGTCTCTTCTGACTTTTACATCATATAATAATAGATTACATTTTACATTATACTGTTTTGTCTTTTATTATAACTTGGCCTCTTTTTAATTGTTTCTACAAACACGTGTCGTCATTTTGATCTCTCCCTTTAACTTCTATATTAAAGAGATTAATTAGGAATAACGAGCAAAGACTTCAAGACACCGAAACTGTGAAATTGAATTACAAAAAGTTCAAGAAGACGATAAGAGAGTTGCATGAATAGTTTGAAAAACCTACTTGAAAAAATGGCTCTTTTAAATGAAAAATTGCTTTGCTACATAAATATAATGATGATTTCGGATCATGCAATTGTTGAATCTAAATGGTCAAAGGAATTTGGATAAGCTACCCAAAAATGTGTTCTTTGAAAAAGTGATCTTCAAATGATACTTTACCATTTAATATGAGAAAATTTGGTAAAAACATTTCCCATTTATGATTGAAACAGATTTAAGTGATGATATTAACATCCCATTTTTATCTTTTGAAACCTCTTTTATAAAGTTATTAAACAAGATAATATAATTAAGATAAACTCATTGTGATGCGTGAACTCATACCAAACAAATACCAACTGGCCTCGGAAGAGATCAAGTATGATGTACGCGTGGTTATTGGTAACTAGCAGGACCTAAAAACGAGGTATATAAGTAAATAACAAAAGGGTTTTATAGTGGTTCGACTATATAAAATCAAACCTACATCCATTGTTGTTTTATTACTGAGGGAGTTAAGGTTCGAATGAGGTTACAAAGGAAGTTCAAGGGTCAAATGGCATTTAGCCCCCACGACCTATTCTCTTAACACCTCTAAAAAAGTCTGGAGCTTTTTCTCTTGAACATTACTAATCAACTAGAATTGTCCTTTGAAATGGAGGTTGTAGATTTCTTTATACTTGTTCATATGATAGTGTTGAGAGTGGTGTTTATAGGGTTGCTTGCACGCATATTCCCCCTAATCGGATCTAAGTCAATAATCTTATGCTTGTGATAGACCGAGTCATGGTAATGGCAACTTAACCCATACTTATACAATAAACACCTTGTAAGGGAGGAACAGCACTAACGAGATGATACTGGGAAAATCCTGATTGTGGGGCTCTGATGTACCTTAAGGACACGAGGCGCAAATTTGACCGTAAAAAAACTAGGCATATACTCATAATAAAACTTTGTATTATTATTCCAAGACTCTATTTTCCTTTTTATATAATAAGCCCTAATCGTAATTATATTTCAAAATGCTATGAAATTTCGCTTTCATGAGAATAAAATAATTAGTCCCAATTCTATTTTTTTTTTTAGATCACAATCTTTATGTTTTCCTAGACAATAGACTCGCATTATGCCTTTTTCCCTTCCTTTTTTTTTTTTTTTTTTTTTCTTCTCTCGACTGAGAAATAAATGGAACAGTTTAAAATCTTTTAGGCATAAGTTTCAGTGCTTAGCAAGAACAAAAAAAAAATTAAATATAAAATGTGCATGTGATTTCTTTAGGGCAATGAAATAATGAAGAAATGAGTTTATTATAATTATATCTGATTGATTCATTAAACAATAATTGATAAAGGTTAAAAAAAATAATAATAATTGATTTATAAAAGAATTCGATTATAATAAACACAGATATTCATAACGCGAATAGATTTAAACTATAATATAAAGGGATTATTTTGGATATGTGAGGTTAATTGACATTTAAATATATTTAAAATTTTAATTGAAATAAAATTAGAAATGGGTTTTACTAAGATAAATAATGTGGTGCAAATAACTACTCTAGATTTTCAGCTATTAAATATTTTATGCTCTTAAGTGTATGATAGTTTTTGCATTTTAAATGCTTATAACATGTCTACTTCTGACATATTATTAGTAAAGACAAAATTGACATTAATTAAGAAACATCATATATAGATTTGAAGACCATGCCCAATGTTATGTTATTTTATTTGTCAGAGTCTAATTAAAAGATGAAAAGGTTATATAGTTCATAACTTTTAGAAAAATTTGTTAGAACATAAATTTTTATTGAAAAGTGGCAAAATTGAACTTAAAAAAAAAATTATAGAAACCATTGCTTTACTATAGTTTGGCTACAATATCACTATTTTTAGATTTAGATTTTTTTTAATGTAAATTTTTTCTTTTTCCTTGATTTATATATATGGCCTCCCATTTTGTGTTTTTCCATTCTCTTGAGTATTGGACAGAGTTTGGAAATTGGAGTCTTGCTCACATTTGCAAAGTCAGAAAGTTCAGGGGTTGTTTAAATACACTCGGTTTGGGTTTAAGTGCAAAGTTTGTAAAGTTTAGCAAAGTGCACCGTTTTGTATTGTAATATTTGTGTGTATGTAAACACACCGTTTTTAGCTTGTTTCATCACTATAAAAGGTTGTAATTCTTGCTTCAGTTCAGTTAATGAAGTTACTTATTCTTCCTGCATTTTTCTTCTACACATTCGAGAATTTTGTTTTCTTGAACTCTTCCAAAACTATTTCTACCATCCATTTTTATATGCATTTTTCGAAGAGAATTATTTTATTTCCCGAGGTTTCCAATTTGAAAATCAAACATCAAGAGCCTTTTAACACTTCTTAACGAGGGTTAACATAAGGTATAATTTGGGGGCGCAGGATTGTTCCTTTTGCAATTCTTGAAGATTACGTCTAACCTTGCACAATACTACGATAGACATGTTGGACATTGCAATTCCGATCGGACATTACATCAGGAAAAGACTGTTATACCGAAAGATAGACATGTCGAGGTTCAATGTGTCAAGATTGGGCATTTCCAGCGCTGGTTAAGTGAGAGAGTTACTTGCAAATCTTTAAAGGTGTTTCATAAATTTATAAAAGAAAAAAAAAAAATCTTTATGGACAATCCAATGATAGTGAAAGTATTCAAACTAACAAGCTTAAAGGGATGAAGGTAGGTCAGATTAGAGCCAAACGATGATAAATAACTTTTGTTGATTTCTTTATCCTCATTATTTCATTTTAAGTTGTTATTTATTACATTTCCACTCACCTTTGCACTACGATTGACTAATATTGAAAAACTTGGTAAAGTACTCGCTAAATAATTTTTCATTCGATTCATATCCGGTTGGATAAATCTATATGTTTCATTTTATTAATTTATTATTGTATTATTGTATTACAAATTCATATTCAATACTTTCAAATTTTAGGTTGAATTCTATGTTTTATTTATATTAAATCCTTTATTTGAGGCAAGAATTAAAGTCGAGGAGATTAATCCTCTTCCCACTAAACACCTTTAAATCTTAATTTTTATATCAAGATTTAAATATGTTAACTGTAGAATTAAAATTATCTTTATACTGTAATATAAACTCTTAATATTAAGAAATCAGATAACAAAAATTTCCTTCAAGTTTCTGAAATAATAAAAAAATTCTCATATCATTAATAAACTGTTAATTAATTATTTGAATTTACAATATTATAAAATAAATAACATTTTATCAAAATATTCTCTCGATCTTTATTTTAACACTTAAAATTTGAATAATAAAAGAATTTTTGTTATTTCAAATGCTTTCAAATATATTTTTATTATTTAATTATACCGGGTCAATTTTAACTCTTCTTATTGATAATAAAAGACAAATCCCACTATGAAAATTATAATCAGAGGCCCGAGCTACACAATCATTGCCAGTAGAAAACAACAAAGAGATCCCATCTTTCTTATTAAGCTTGAGAAGTACATATATATATAAAAACAAATTACAATTAAAAAATTAAAAAAAAAATCACACCACACACTTGTTAGGCCAATAATAATAATAATACCCAATACATCGATCGTGGCCCTTCACTACATGTTTCACCCACAAAATATCTTCGGTCATTTTTAATTAAAATGAATCTGCAGAATGTCATTTCCTTAAAACCCAACTCCCTTCTGCTTCTTCTACTATTTCATCAATTAATAACCAATATAATTAATGTCAAAAAAAATTCGGTATAAACTATGCAACGACGATCGATATCGATATTGACTTGATAATATTATCGAACTTAAAAGTTACATTGACTCGATAATATTACGGGTCAGTACTTCAACAAACCCTGTTCTTATTCTATATGTTAAATAATAATAGTGATCAATGAATGAAGGGTTTTAATGGATAAAGTTACCTAAGGGTCCCAAAGGGAGTCACTTTGCATATTATAACTCCACTCGTCATTCTCCTCAACCTCATTGGAGAACATCATGGATTCCTGTAACATTAATTCCTCTGTCATCTGCATCCACATCTTCGGTGAATCCATTGGTGAATCGTTTATCGCCTGGATTTGGCTGGGCGACAGCCTGACAGTGACGGGACCCAAGCTTGTCCCATCAGCGCCCACGCCGCACCCCATGGACGAGCCCTCGGATATTGCTGTGTTAGAACAATTGCTACTGCTCCTGAGGCGCACGGCCGCCTCGTGGGCAGCCATGCGGATATCGTCTGCATTGGAACTCGCGGGCTTGGGGAGCGAACTCGCCAGCTCCGGGAAATTAAGGCGGGCCTCACGCCCCCGGAAGAATAAAGCTGCAACATCGTATGCCGCCGCCGCCATTTCCGCTGTCTCGAAACTTCCCAACCAGATTCGAGTTTTCTTTCCAGGCTCGCGAATCTCCGACACCCATTTGCCCCATTTTCGCTTGCGGACGCCCCGATAACTAGACGGCGTCCCGCCATGAAGGTTACTCGAGGACTCCATGCACAGTCAACCAAAAGTTTGTGGAAAATGTTCAGGTAATTATACAAATAATGGTTATTGCGAGGAGAGATAGTGATGAGTGATGATAAAAGTGGAGTTGTGATTGGTATTTATACAATCCTGGAGGAACCGAGCTTCCAGGTAGCTGCTGGAGTGAGAGACAAACATGGTGATATAAAATCTAGATGCTAAATTGCTTGAATTCCAAAAAAGAATATAAAATCTGTTGCAGGAACCAATTAAAGAATGACAGGTTTCAGGATTGGAAGAAGGAAACTGAGGAAAATATGGATTCAGAAGCATAGTGTTAACTGTTGAAACGCGGTTTCATGAAGATGGACCCACCGATATATCCATTAGAGGATTGACAATTTTTTGTGTTAATTATTTAGTATAGTACTTGGGGAATCTTAAGATATAGTTTATTTTAAGGTTTATTTTTAAAGTGACACATCAATGGCTGACCATAAAATAATAAAGTTGTGATGTAATGTTAGAGAGTATTGTTGAGTAGAAGTGTCAAATGGGTCGTATTAGTTAATAAAAATTTATATAATTACGGTATAAAATTAATAGTATTAATGGATAAATAATATATGGTATGATAAAAATATTGTGATAGTTGAAGAAATATACGATTTGGGAAAAAAGTTTTAGGTTCTTTAGACCAGTCGAGTTTGAGTTTGGCATGCCCATTTTGGTCAAATCAATCATTAAGAAGGGAAAAACGCTAATTTTGTTTTCCATGTTTTTATGATTTATCTTAATTCTTTATTCATTTTCTCATTTCTCTCAATTTTTTGAATTTGCAATGCTTATAGATTACATCTTGCACATTCACACAATAAAACAATGGAGGAGGCTAGTCATCAAACTAGAATGGTACTACTGCCCCCTAAAATACATTGTAATAACAATCAACTATCATTTTATAGATTAAGATTCTTTTTTAAATTCGAGCTTTATTTGAACAAAATACTACATTAATATATACATGTCATAAGATTTGTAAAAAGTTGGAAAAGAAATTCTTAATTCATTTAGCAAGCACTATTTTTATAGACTTGTTAGAAACATGTATTAGATAATTATTCAACAAATTTAAAATAGAGTAAAGAAGAAAAAAGAACATCTTATTATTGTCTATAGAGTTTCTATTAGAATTTCTCTAAAAGGTATGAATCATATTTTTCTTTTTCGCATAGTATCCTTTTTAAAAACTAAAAGTAAAAGGACACAAATTTTATTTTTTATAATAAACGGACACTTTATAGATTATGTCTGGAAAAAAGTACATGTTTGTTGATAAATAGTGTTAAAAAGTGTTTGTTTATTAATAGATTAGTGTTGGTTGAATTAGAAAAGTGTTTGTTAATTGATACAAATGAAACGAATGTTATTTTTCTTTCAGTTTTAAAAGTAAGTATCCTCTTAAAGTATAATAACCTTTTTTTTTTTTTTTTTTTAAATGTTTGAATATAGTTTTTAAGTTGTTTTTTTTGCACCATTAAAAGCATTTCAAAATTAGTATGTTGATATATATGCACTTATAATCAAATATGCTATATGTTATATTTCACAAAGTTTAAAAACAATTAGAAAACTTAAATGTGGCTTACATATTTTATATTCTCTTAACTTGAAGCATTATACAATATAATTAAAACGTAGATATATAAAAAAAAAAAAAAAAAAAGCTAACTAGAAATGTTTCTCCACAAGGCAATGAAACTGAGTAAAAACTGTAGAAGACTCGGATTTCAATTTTAATGGATATATCAACATGTACCTACTAAAATAATCCACAAACACAATATAATATCTATATCCTTCATAAGAAACAACAAGGGCAAGCCCCCATAAATCAGAATAAATCAATTCAAGTAGAGCTTTGATTTTGAAATCAGAAATGGAAAAGGAATTTGCTGCATTTTTCCAAATTGACAAGCTTCACAAAAGGCATTTTATTTCCAAATACATGGAGTTATTCATTACATTGCTTAAAGTTTTCACATGTGGATGACCTTGATAGAATTTGAGGTGGGCTTGACTCCTCACCCAATAAGGCCTTGTTGAATGGGAGGATTACCCCCTCTTATAAACTAGTAGGCTTGAGTGAGTCGGTGTGAGACTCCAACACTCCCCCTCCCGGTCAACTCCATATGTTAAGTCATGCCTATTGATGGAGGTAGCTGTTGGCTCTAACTCCTCATCCGCTGGTCAAGCACTCAGCTCAATTGGGCCTAGTTCTAATACCATGATAGAATTTGAGGTAGGCTTGACTCCTCGCCTAATAAGGCCTTATTGAATGGGAGGATTGCCCATCTTATAAACCAGTAGGCTTGAGCGTGCCTAGTCTGGTGGGACTCCAACACTCCCCCTCATAGTCAAGCCCATATGTTGGGTTAGACCTAACCTAGCATGTCCATAGTAAGACTAGTTTTTACATCACATTGATTATTTTTCATACACTAATTATCAATAGCAATTGACAAAACTTGAACTAGTTGAAAAAGAACTTGAACTGATTTTAGGATTGGAAGAGGAAGTTGATACATTAAGATGAGCACAAGGTAACTGAGATGCAGAAACAGTTTGTTCAGCAGTAGAAGATACAATATTTGGAAGAGAAACTTGTAATTGATACAATCGAACTTTCAGAATGCCTAGAAGGAGAACAACTTTAGTAGTTTTATCATTTATAAGATAGTGATTGGAATGAATTTTCCCTAATCACATCATTATCTTTTGTTATTTGAGAAATGCTCAGCAAGTTCTTTTCTATTTGAGGAATACATAACATATTTCTAAGATGTAATAATCTATGAGAAGTAACATAAGGTATAAAAGACACACTTGTATGAGTGATAGGGACTACTATCCATTGCTAACTTGTACTTGAGAACCTCTTTGGTAGTTGGACTTTATCAGTAAATTGCTTGTGTGTGCAATCATGTGATTAGTAGCTCCTAAGTCTACATACCAAGTTTTATGAGTTAAACTATGTGGAGTGGCAACAAATGGATTTTGTCTAGGAGAAGCCTATGCAAACAAATGGCCAGCTTCTTCAATTAGGGAAGTAGTAGGAGCAATGTTTGACAAAGAGAGAGTGACAGGTTTTTAAAACCCTAATATGGCAAAAGCTCCTAGAGGAGGGTGAATAAGAGATTAAAATATTTAATGCAGAATAATTAAAACCTTAACTACTTAAATGCTATGAGCAATAACTGACAATAATAAAAAACCAAAAGTAGCAACAAGTAATAAATGAGTTAAGGGACTTAACCAAAAAAAAAAAAAATGAGTTAAGGGAAAAGAGATGCTCAATGATTTATAGTGGTTCGGAGCTTTGATCAAGAGCCTTCTATAGTCACTTCTTCAAGGTAACGTCCTTGAAGTTCTACTAGACTTGGATTTCATGTTTACAATAGTTTGATAGGATTTCCCCTTAGTTTTATAAGATTTTTCCCACAAGATGTATAAAAATGTTTTTGTGAAGGACTGCTTTTAAGCTAGGGTGATACACAATACATGTTTAAAAGCTACTCTCTAAAGATTACAAATATAAGTACGAATGATAAGAATGATCGAGCTCCAGGGTTTGCAATAAAATGGTGCTACGTCTCTTTCTTCTTTTTATTACTGTTGCAATAACTCTTTCTATTTATATCTTCACTAACCTTTGAAATAAATTAGAGTCGGTGCTTCATTTAATGCACTGATACAGCTTTCTGCAAAACTGCAGAACCTAGAGAAACGGGCATTCCTAACAGTAATTGTCTCTTTTCTTTGAAAATTAGGGTTTGGAATAGTTGTTCCCTTACTTGCAACGTTCGTTCCCCTATCAAGAACAGAATTTCCTTCTTAAAAATCTCAAAGTCTAGAAATTCCATAACCATGAACGACTTTGTGGAATGAAGTCATTCCTTCTTGGAATGGCTTGATATTTTTTGGGAACGGGCGTTCGTCATGGTCATTCTTATCTGACTTGAGTTTTCTAAAACCTTAACTTGAGCTCGAATATTCTAAGTCCAAAATCTTGACTTGAACTGGAACGGATATTTCTCCTAAGGGACGAGTGTTCCTTTTTAGATTGAAAATAATGTCAAGATTGTAAAATCATGAACGATGTGATGGAATGATGTCATTCATATGGAACGATCAATTTGCTTTAGATTGCGAATGTGTGTCAACCTCTTCAAATAAGTCTTATGATATGTTCAGAACAGTTTAACAGAATAGGGTGTTCGGTTTGGAATGGCTTGATTGGAAGTTGGCTCAATTTTGGCAAATTGATGAACGACTATAAAGAATGATGTCATTCCTTCTTTTAACGGCTTGACTGGGAGTTATTGTTAATTTGAACTAAATGGAAATGAGCGTTTTGTCTGCGAGAATAGGCATTTCACCTAGAAAATTGCATTTTCATTTTGAGGTTATGATTTATGTCATACCTTTGCACATTGTTAGTCCCTAAACATTATTTTGATTAGTTTTGGCACATCAAAACATATAAATGCTCAACAAGGTTGAGACGCATTAGAATGCTAATGTAGAGAACTATGATTTTGTTATAGGGCTCCAAAATGAGTACGTGAAAATCCAGATAAATCATAAGGATAGTGAGACAGTTGTGGAGGGACATTGGATGGAAGAACAAAAGATCCATGAAAAGGAATACTCTAGGACTGTACTGGCATAAACCTTGTTGCTAATAGTACTTGAGCAAACTCATTCGATTGAGTTGAAATGAAGCTTGAGGAGACACTGAAGAGGTAGGTACTAGAGAGGTAAAACCCTGGTAACCATAGTCAAATCTATGATAACACTACAAAGCAGAGTGGCCTGTTTTGCCACAAACTTGACATATAAGTCTAGGTCTAAAATATTCTCTTCCTCTACCTCTGCCTTTTGTCATGTTAGCATTAAACATCAACATCCCAGGAGAGAAAAATTGACCATTTAGATGAGGTGTGGCAGAATATTGAGGGAATTGAGATCCTAAATCAGGCCTTTGACCTCCTTGATTCATGTTATTACCAACAAACCGAGGAAACACAGTAGCCAACTATTGAGTTTGAAGTTTACTATACTAAGGA